GGCCTCGTAAAATCGGGCGCATCCGGAGATACGAAGTGAAAGTGCGTTTTGCACAAGATGACGGTAACCCCGTCCCCAGGATAACGACGAGCGGCAGTCGGCATCAGTGCATCGCGGCGACGAGCATCGGGCGCATCGGGGGAGACCGCGCGAGGTCGGATTTTAATAGCCGCGTTAATTGGCAAAGCTGACCTAACTTCGCTGGAAAGTCGTCTTTAATAATTCATGACAGCGTGACGGTGTGCGCGCGAGCTGCGCGCGAGCTGCGGCGTTATGCTCCGATTTTCCGCAAGGCCACCGTCGAGGGTGCGTCGAGAGGACGGAAGAGGGAAACGGGATTCAACCCCGCGGAACTGATGTTCACTTCACGGTTGGTTCCGTCGTCTTCCGGCCACGTGGACGCTGCGGGGAGGACATGGAGACCATATTGAATTGTAATTACAGATTGGATTACACGGTGGTTTACGACGAGAGATGTAATTGAGTCGGTGGAATGTACGCGATGGAATGAGGAATTGACATGCGGTGCTCTCGTAATCGTGTGTGGCGAGGATACGCCGCGTGACGGAGATGCTTTTAACTAATGCTTCCTTCCTTGATAGCTCTTGAAATTTTATACATCTGCGTGAGTTGACGTAATGAACATTTAAATCCTTTTTTTAGAGCGGTAAAAAAATAAGGAAGGTTTGCGAATCTTTCTTTTAAAATAAAGAGATTTTAATTTTTTAATTTTTAATTTTTAGTATTTAATCTTTTTGTATTTATCGTGTTAGGTTTGAAGTGTCAAATTTCAGATTTTTTTAATCAATGTAAGATTATACTATCGGTTATATTCAAATGTTCAAAACACAAAAACAACAGAATGATGATAAAAAACTCGCGTTAATACGGCTATAAAATACAATAAAAATATTTAATTTCGAAGCAATAATACTCGAGCATCGGTGATCAGTATACCTTGTATCCAAGTACAAGTCATCGTTGTTTTGCTCTCGATAGTATCCTATCTTGTTACTGTTACACCCATCTACGCAGTGACGCGCCTTTTCGTCAGGCCCGACTCGTTATCTGTGCGTAAATAGAAAGATGTCGTGCCACCTCGCGCAGGGAAAAGATAAGTGTTTCCGGTCGTTAAGGCCTGACGGCCGGGAAGCGGAACGACGTGTTTTTTTATCTTTTTTTTTTATTTATTTTTTTTTAAGAAACGATACACGTTTTCGGTTGAGCGAGAGTCGACGATGCTGAGCGGCGATTTTGAATTCTGAGTAATCTTTTTTTCTCTTGCCTTTTTTTCAGACCTGAATCTGTGGAACAAGAGCATCAGTCAGCGCTGGCGGAAGCTGCGGCGAAGATGCTCCGTGCAGGAGTCGTCGGAGCCGCAGGAGGCGCTGATACAGAGTGGCGGGAATCACGGGGTTATACACGCGGTGAGATCGACACCGGCTAGCAGGGAAGCTTCGCCGGCCGCGAAGAGTCTTCAGGATGGTAGTTCACCAAAGAAACTACTGCAGACTAGCTCTCTGAGGTTACCAGGTGTGTATTGATCCGAAGCGAAATCACCCTCGCGAAATTCAAATAAATTTCGTCTCGTTGATGTAACATACTTCATGACGTTAAATCACATGCCTGCAATAAAAATATAATAACTAAAAATTACTGATACTTAGAATTGAATATAAATTAAAAAATTAATTTTGTGTTGTTGTGTTTTGGTATATATATTATAATTATGATATTTTGAACATATATTTCATAATAAAATATGCTTGCAGGCACGACGAAAGGCATAGCCGATATCCAGCATGTGCTCCGCAGCAAGTTTAGCAAAATAAACGCCGGCATCAGGAAACGGAAGGCGCTCAGCGTGACGGAAGTGTTCCCCCCGCAGAAGGACAATGCCTCGAATTTCTATGTGCCAAGTCCGCTCACCTCGTCTTCCAGTCAGACCTTCGAGGACAACCGTTACGATTCGAGCGAGCCCGCATCACTGCCACCGTATCCCTTCCATGACAATTTAGAGACCTTGGCGGAGAGCAGCGTTCCGAATTCACCTCATTGCAATGGCAATAGCTTCACCTACTCCCAGGACAATTACGAGCAGAAAGATCTCTACGAGAACGTGGTGTTCCCCAGGTCCTCGCCGTCCTCCTGCTGTCCGAGGAGTCGGCCTCTTCTTCAACGTAGTAATTCGGAGAATCGCGAGGCCAACGTGCACGAGCATTCTTACGAGAATGTTCGCTTTCAACGAGGCATCGCTCAACGAGACGACCTGGCCTCGGGAAGTCCGTACGCGGGTCGACACTTAGCCAGGAGCAACTCCGAGACCAGGGAGCACTCGTACGAGAACGTGCACTTTCAGAACGCGAAGATCAGGAACCAGTCGGATCCGTCGTTCGAGGAGATACACATACCAAGAGTGACACCCAGAAAGAGATCCACCGACTTTAAGGTCGGCGGACAGGTGAATAATTATTCGGGCGAGGCCATGTTGAGCTCTGGTGGTGGTAACAAGGAGGATGCACCGACCAGTTTAGGTACGGAGAGAAGTTCTGGTAAAAGACACCCGAGGAGGCTCAATAGTAGGAGTGTTGCGAATATCCCTAGCTCTTCGGGCGCGAACTTGAAGACTTGGCAAGTGAGTGGGTTCCGACAAAACTCATTTTTATCTAGGAATTTTAAATGTAAATGTTAAATTTGTATCGTTATGAAAATTTTACATAGAGAAATTATAAATATATTATAAATATATGTATACAATTAAAATTTTAACGTAGAAGAATTGATAGTTCAAAATAAAATTATTTTTCCACTTGAATACAATGTAATTTTTTTTTTAGGGTACTCAAGATGCGGATGAAGGTTTGAACACGGATTCGGAGCTTGAAGACATTGATGAAGGTGCGGAAGGCGAAGAGTCGCGTTTCTGTACCTTGCCAAGACCCAGTAAAGGTGGCGCATCCTTCACGATATTGACTGCCAGATTTCTCAAAGGTCCTGGACATAAGGGACTCGGCTTCAGTATCGTCGGCGGTACCGACAGTCCTCGTGGAAATATGGGAATATATGTGAAAACTATTTTCCCCAATGGTCAAGCCGCTGACTTGGGTACTGTCAAAGAAGGTAAGTAAAAAAAAGCATATTTTATAAGTTTAAATATTTATATTTCAACTTTTTTTGTATTGTTCAATTTTAATAAATCAAGAAATATTTTTGCAATCTTTTATATTTTTACAATCTTTTCTTTTTTTTTTGATAATGTATGAAAGGATTTTTATTTAGGCTGATTATTAATAAAGTACCAAATTACTAATATATTTATTGTTTACGAGAGCAAAAATTAATTTAAAAATTAATTTATATATCTTTGAGAGTTTTTTTTTAAATAAAAATATAAAATTTAAAAATAAAATATTTATAAATTACTGGTTACATGATTACAGTTTTCATGATAATTTTTAAAAATATAATTCTATACAAGAAAGATTCCTCTCTGTTATATTGTCTTATTTTTTTAATTAAGATACATTTTAACAAAATTTGTTGCGCTTGCAGGGGACGAAATTTTGTCAATAAATTCGAAACCTCTTCATGGTATGACCCACGCCGAGGCGATCGCTGAATTCAAGTCTGTGAAGGCCGGGGATGTCGTCTTGCATGTAGGACGTCGCGTAAACAAAAAGAAAAAAGAAGCCTTGAGTCTAGCACCGGTTAATCCTTCCGTTCCAAGGCAATCCGTCACATGAATTCACATAAAGAATGTTGCAACGACGAACGATTTTTCTGTTTGCTGAAGTTTCGATCTTTCAATTTCCAAGAACGTTCACAATATAGCAATATCGAATAATTATTGCTGGCAATAATACATGAAAGATCGAGTCAGACTGTGACGTGACTCATCTCCATTCTCTTAACCTTCAGTTCGAGAGACTCGAGTTACGTCAAATTTGATCGTACATTTTATTTCTAACTTTTAATTATAGTTTTTATGCTGAGAATGAGAGAATGAAGTTTCCATATGAAAAATTTGATATCTTTATACGTAATTGATCAGAATAATTTTTAAGGCATTGGAAAATTCTTTCTACGTAAATTTTTTTGTTTAAAATCATTGTTTAAAATTATTTATTATTATGCTTTTCAAATGCGAAAGTTTATGCTTTTTAGCAGCACTTTCTATATATTTTCAATATTCTTTTTGTTGCTTCTGCACGGTTCGATCATATATTTACTTTATGCTAAACATGGCAAATGTGGAGGAGGAGAGAAGGGAATTACTTGAAAATTTTTAAATTGATCCTACTATCTCAAAATTAAATTTAAAGGCGGGATAATAAAATTATACTGCAGTTTTAACGAAATTATAAAGAGATTCATCGAAAGTTCACACATATCCGATGGTGAGGTTCTTGCATCAAACAAGATCTTGTTTATGATTGCGAGAAGAATTTCATTTGATTTTTATTTTATGTTCTCGATATAAAATGTAAAAGGATATAAAATGTAAAAGGATATAAAATTGATGATGCTCGTGTTAATATAAAAATAGAGCAAGTTGGGGAAAACAAAGTACCTTTCTTGACAAACATAATCAAACGGTGAGGCGAACACTGTCAAATCAAAGCGCGTTTTAATCGTACGATTTACTCGGTACCCGCTATATTAAACATTAATATTTATCGATAAATTTATAATTATCTAACATTATCTATTAGAAATGTCGGTGTAATGGAGGATCATTGAAGCTTTTGATTAAATCGCATTCTCTTACGTTTACTTATGCATGGACGGATGAATTACATGTATCGAAAGAACTACGGTTATTTACGAAATGGAACATATTACAAGCAAACGCAACGAAGTCCTCCAGTTAGCAATTAACAGACGATTTATTTTTATAATGCGAACGAAAATGTACTGCAATTTTGTACAGTTAAGAATGAGCGTAACGACGTTTTAATGTGCATGCCAAATCAACGAAGCGAACGGAATCGATCGCGGTATCAAACTTACGATAGAGATTATCTCTAATGATAATTAGCCGAGCAATATATATATGCCTGAATCATAAAAATCTGACTTTATCCAAGAAAAATGGAGTACTAAAAATGATGGAAGAAAACAATCAAATTTTTTATCTAATATCCTTGAAATTCTTTATTAAATAATCCAAAATAATAATAAATTAATTTCTTGTGCATCTTATTATATTAATTAATTTTTAATTAATTTTATATTATGATAATTTATTATATTAATTTGTTAATATTTAAAGTATCTTTTATCATTTTTAGTTACTCTAAAATTTTTTTATCTGTGCAATTATGCAGGCATATGACAGGAAATCCAAAGCCCGAACATTATCGCAGAGTTAGGAAACGAATTATTTTTTAATTGTAGACTAACGAAGATCGTCCAAA